TTTGATATTTTTCTTTTTTTGTGTGTGTAGGTGTTTATTACTATAAACTTTCCTTTTAGAACTGTTTTTGCTGTGTTTCAGAAGTTTTGGTATGCTGTGTTTCCATTTTCATTAGTCTTAAGATATTTTTCAATTTCTTCATTGGCCCACTAGTTGTTCATAAGTATGTTATTTAATATTCATGTATTTGCAAATTTGCCCTAATTCCTCCTTTTATAGGTTTCTAGTTTTACACCACTGTGGTTAGAAAAGAGAAAAAATTGAATTATTTCAATCCTCTTAAAATTGCTAATACTTGTTTTGTGGCCTAACATACGATCTATCCTGGAGCATGTTTCTTGTGTGCTTGAGAAGAATGTATACTATGCTTCTGCTGGAAGGAAATGTTCTGTATATGTCTATTAGGTTCATTTGATGTATTTTTTTCTTTGTTTTTATAGGTCATTTAAAGGACTCTAAGGTCCATTTGCTCTAAGGCATTGTTCAAGTCCAGTGTCTCCTTATTAATTTTCTGTCTGGATGATCTGTCCATTTTTGAAAGTGGGGCATTGAAGTTCCCTGCTATTATTACATTGTGACCTCTTCCTTCATACCCTTTAATATTTGATTTATATATTTAGGTGCTCTAATGTTGGGTGCATATATATTCACAATTATTAAATTTTCTTGATAACTTGACATCTTCATCATTATATAATGTTCTTTTCTTTTTTCTTTAAAGTTTTGATTTAAAGTCTATTTTGTATAAGTAGAGCTACCCTTGCTTATTTTGCATTTCCATTTGCATACAGTATTTATCTTTTTCCTATCCTCCACTTTCAGTCTATGTAAGTCCTTAAAAATTGAGTGAGTATTCTTTAAGGAACATATAGTTGGGTCTTGCTTTTTGTACTCCATTCTGTCACTATATGCCTTTGTATTGGAGAATTTAATCTACTTACATTCAATGTAATTATTAATAGGATAGAAGTTACTACTGCCATTTTGTTCATTGTTTGCTGGTTGTTTTGTAGATATTTTATTTCTTTATTTCTCTCTTGCTGTCTTCCTTTGTGGTTAGATGGCTTTCTATAGTGGTATGCAAATCTGTTTTATTTTTTTTGCTTTGATTTGTGCTTCTACTAAGGTTTTTTGCTTTGTGAGTTACATGAGGCTTACATAGAACATCTCATACTTATGACAGTCTATTTCAAGCTGATCCCCCATACACATTTTATGTTTTTGGTATCAGAATTTACATCATTTAGGTACATGTATCCATTGACAATTTATTTTAACTATAGCTGTTGTTCATAGTTTTGACTTTTAACCCTCATAATAGGGATAAAATTGGTTTACACATCATCATTACATATATAGCATATTCTGAATATGGATTTGTGTTACTTATATCATTAGGTGCTGTGCTTTTGTATTTTTTATGTTACTAATTAGCAGGCTTTGGTTTCAGCTTAATGAACTATCTTCCTGTAATGCCTGTAAGGCAGGCCTAGTGATGTTGAACTCCCTCACCTTTTGTTTCTTTGGGAAGTTTCTATTTCGTCTTCACTGCTAAAAGACAGCCCTCTTGGATAAAGTATTCCTGATTCACCAAGATTTTTCTTTCCCTTCAGTGCTTTGACTATATCACTTCCTCCTGGCACTCAAGGTTTCTGCTAAAAATTTGCTGATGGTCATATCAGAATCACTTTGTATGTGATGTGTTGTCTCTTTCTGGTCTCAGAAATTTTGTCTTTATCTTTCATTTTTGATAGTTTGATTATTATATGTCTTGGTAAACTCTTCTTTGGGTTGTATTTGACTGTGGAACACTGTGCTTCCTGTACCATATGTTGGCATCTATCACTAGATTAGGGAAGTTTGCAACTATCATTGTTTTAAATATGCTTTCTGATTTTTCTCTCTTACTTCTCCTTCTGGAACTCTTTTGATGCAAAGGTTTGGTCTCTTGATGATGTTTTATAATTTCCATAGGTTTTCTTCATTCTTTTTCATTATTTTTTCTTTTTGTGCCTCTGATTGGATGATTTCAAATATTCTGTCTTTGAGCTAACTGATGCCTTCCTCTGCATGATCAAGTATGCTGTTGAAGCTTTCTATGGAATTTTGTAATTCAGTCATTGCATGCTTCATTTCTAGAATTTCTATTTGCTTTATTTTTAGCTTTTTCTATTTCCATGTCAAACTTCTCATTTTGTTTGGGTATTGTTTTCCAAATTTTATTTAATTTTGTATTTATATATTTTTGTAGTTCACTGAATTTCTTTTAGAGGATTATTCAGAATTCTTTGTCAGTGATTTCATAAATCTTCATTTCTATGAGGTCAATGTTTGTCAGTTTCTTTTGGCAGTGTCATGATTCTCTGATTCTTCATAATCCTTGTTTCCTTGAATTGATGTCTGCACATTTGAGGAGACAACCATCTCTTCTGACCTTTATAGGTATTCTTTGGCAGGGATGAAAATGTGCTATTTAGTCTAGCTTATAATTTTTGAAGAGCCATCTGGTGACAACCTCAAGCAGGCAGATCTTATCATGGGTTCTCTAGTTAACTGGGCCACTACCTTTTTTCTGATGATGGGTGGTGCCACTGGCTATGTTTGCCATCTGGTGGGATCACTTATTTGGTTCTAATATCAGATAGAGCTTCTGTCTGGGTACTGGCCAGTCAGAAGATTTATTGCCTGGCTGGATGATTTAGGTTCCAAGTAGTAATCAGGACCCCACAGGTTGGGCTCTGTGGTTATGTGCAGTTGCTGCTTGGGATGGACAGGACTTAAGACTATGTCTTAGAAATGCATGATTGAGACTTTCCCCTCTGTGTGAGTGGAACCATAGGGTGAGGTTTTGACTGAATTAAGCTTACTGCTTACCTTCTCAGGCCCAGCAGGCCTAGCCCCTACATATCTACAAAATGTGTGGATGTGGGTATCTCCCTGCCTGGGCAAAGTCACTGGGTGGGCCTTTTGGCTGAACTGAGCCACATTTTAGACAACTGGGTCAAGCAGGTCTGTCCCCTATATTTCTCTGAAATATGCAAAGGCCTGTGTCTCCTACCTGGGCAGGGGCATTGGGATGGGTTCTGAGGCTGAGCTTGGAGACTGGCCATCTAGAATCTCAATCCTGGTTGAACATAATATCATGCTTCTGAAAGTGACCAGCTCAGCTTTGCAGGTGGACTATACAGTTGGCTGGTATCTCTGAATGGGCACCATAGCTGGCAGAAACACAGAGTTACCGCCAAGATTCACATGCTTGTCACTGTGAGCTCTTTATCCTTTCTTTGTTTCCACTTGACCCCAGCTGGTCTAGCCAAGCCATTCCTCCCAGTGTTCCCCATGAGGTAAGACCACCTTTGGCTTCCTGAAAAGTGTCTCCGAAGGCTGAGGAAGCTATATGACTCCCTCTGGTTCTCTTTTACCCCTGTAGAAATCGTGGGCCCTGGAGAATCCTCTCCATGTGTCATTGTGCTAATTTAAGGAAAAGAATGAGATGGCATGATCAAATTGAGACCATTCTTCTTACTCTTCCAATTTGGTTTTCATCCAGTTCCGTGAACTACACAGGTGTCCCAGATTGTTTTCCAGTATTGGGGTTTTCAAAAAGATGTTCTGATCTGAAGGTAGTTGATGGTTGAACTTTCTGTGGAGGGAGGAGGAGCTGAGACTTCCTATTCCACCATTTTGCTCTTTTCTGAGTTTTAGTAGAATTTAAAAAATCCCCCCTCATTATTAACTAAATACATTTATACTTCCATCATACAATCACCATCACAGTCACTATCGATGTTTTAATTTTGGCAAAAAATGTAGATGAAAAAAATATTTTGCTATTGTTTTAGTTCATATTTCCCTAATCATAAGTGTTGGGAATAAGGATGAGCTTATTTCTGCACATTTATGAATTGCCTTCATAACCGTTGACCATTCTCTTTTTGAGTAATTTTTCTTTTTCTGACTTACTTGTAGTATGACACTGATTCTTTATCTATTAACTATGCTGCAGATATTTTCTATCATGTGTTAATTCGCCTTTTAACATTCTTTTTAGCATCTGTTTTCTGACAAAAGGTTTAATATTAATTTATGAGAAAAAGAAGATAAATACTACACATTTCTCATTTCCATCTTCATATAATTCACTAAGATTAAAATGGCAGTAAACATATGTTCATCAGTAGCAACTATTTTCTTTTCAATGACTCAAAATATTTATTTCACCTCTTCATTTGTCCTTTATCTTTGCTTAAGGCATTTGTATTTTTATAAAATGTTTAATGTTAATTTTATGAAGGATTCAGTATGAAAATAAATACTAAATTCTATCATTTTCATCTTTTAATATTGACCAGATTAAAATGGCAGTAAATGTATGTTTGTCGTGTTATTTTATTTTCAATGAGTCAAATACTATTCATGTTCACCACTTAACCCTTATATTCTATATCTTTCAAAAAATACTGTGTTTATGGCTGGTAAAATTTGCCTGAAGAAAGGACATAGCATTATGTAAAAATCTGGACCTTTGGAGAAATTTTTCCTTTGTGTGTGTGTGTGTGTGTGTGTGTGTGTGTGTGTATATATATATATACATATATATATATATATATACTTACAGGGCATTGTCAGGGGGGTTCCCTATAAAATTGTTCAGTTAGGAGGTTAAGGAGGGCACTAAATGGATCATTTTGTGATAACCATCCTGTGTTAGCCATCAGATGACTAACAGATGAAATGGAATCACAACACACCCAACTCTTAGCAGTTTGTTATCTTCTTTTGGAATGTAATTCTACATATAAGGGAAAAGATAGTTGGAAAAGAAATTCTGAAAAGTTCAGTAACCCATTTTAAGATATTAAAAAACTTCTATTAAAAGGAGGGACAACTTTTTTAGGATAACTTTAGATGTAAGGAATAGTCCTACCTTCTAGGTCATAGAGCTCTTCAGAAAGATAAAATACAGAAATAATTTTCATATGGCTGATTTCTTTCTCTAGGTGCTGAGGTAACTGAAGAATTATCCCTGAAGCTGCCACCAAATACTGTAGAAGGATCTGCCCGAGCCTCTGTCTCAGTTGTGGGTGAGTCTCTAGCTCCTAGTGGATTTGGCATTAATAGCTTCTACTATATTTATTTCCATACATATTTACTAAAACAACAACTATAACTTTAGCTTCTTTATTCTTCCTTCTTTGGGCTTGTTTATTGCTTCCAATCACATCTCTGTCCCTGGAAGTCTCACCCTTCCTAAAATTCCTCATTTTTTCAGCTGACTAGTTATTTATTCTTAATGATTCTGGTAGATTATAATCTCTAAACTTTATGACTTCCCATCTCTCCCATTCCCCAGGAGACATATTAGGCTCTGCCATACAAAACATACAAAATCTCCTCCAGATGCCCTATGGTTGTGGAGAACAGAATATGGTCCTCTTTGCTCCCAACATCTATGTTCTGGATTATCTAAATGAAACACAGCAGCTGACTCCAGATATCGAGTCCAAGGCCATTGGTTATCTCAACACCGGTGAGTGACTGAACCAGTGAGTGGAAACTTCACATTGTTATTTCTACTGGATTTCTCAAGAGGCTTCAGTTACTTATCAATAGTATAATACATTAGCTTATCATTATGATAGCTACTATGAAAAGAGTACTACGGTACTTAATTTCATGGAAACTATCCACTCTCCAACCTCCAATAAAATGTTTAAGGCTTGGAACTCTCTAGTATATAACAACAAATTTAAGAAAGGTCACAAGAAAAGCCGACATATTTTAGTATTTTCTCTGGCCTCGGCATGAACATTAATCTGTCATGTTGTTTCATGAACCTTCCACTCCAGGTTATCAGAGACAGTTGAACTACAAACACCATGATGGCTCCTACAGCACCTTTGGGGAGCAAGGTGGCAGGAGCCAGGGCAACACCTGGTAAGGAAAGAATAATTTTTGAGCTATTTGTGTGCCAGCTCTTTCGCATATATTATCACTATTATATAAACAGCAACCCTAACCAACACGCATTACTAGACCTATAGTTGGTTATACTTGACAAATACACCAAGATTAGCAAGGTAACAAGCAGAAAACCTGATATCTAAATGCATATGTGTTATACTTATTCCCAAAATTGATATTTTTAATAGTATTCCAAAGCATTCTTTACAAAATAGCACTCTTTCTAAAAGAGCTCTCATACCCATGAGTTTTTTAAATTATGTGGCCAGTGAACATACCACATAAGTTCCAGATAAATCATGTTAAGTTCAGCTTATATTATAGAACATACTTATAGAACATACTTACCTTGACTTAGAATAAATTCATTAACAGGAAGAAATTATTGGGAAGACAGTAATATGAAACATTATTTTTAAAAATAATAGAGACAGAGCAAGAGGAGAAGTTATAGCATACAAGAGCTACATTTGAGAAGATTCTGTCATCTACTAAAAGAAATCTCTAAAGAGAAGACTGATTTAAAGACTTGCTCAAATATTTAATAAAAATAAGGAAATTAGAAGTACTTAGACTTCCTGCAGCAAAGGGAAAGTGAGTGATCAGGGAAATACCAGGTCTAGCAGATTAATGAAAGAGTAAAGAAGATAGAAGCTCTAAGTACATGAGAATTCCTGTTAGATAACTCGCAGCAATGTAAGAAGTGTCTTATGAAGCCTGTTGCTGTGAAGTGGCTATAGAACCGTTCTAACAACATAAATATCTTCACACTTCCTCCCCTCTCAGGCTCACAGCCTTTGTACTGAAGACTTTTGCCCAAGCTCGAAACCACATCTTCATCTACGAAGCACACATCACCCAGGCCCTCACCTGGCTCTCCCAGGAGCAGAAGGACAACGGCTGTTTCAGGAGCTCTGGGTCGCTGTTCAACGATGCCATAAAGGTGAACCGTTCTGGAACTAGTTTTGATTTGTCCATTATGACATCTACAAGGATGAGGAGAGAAAGGAATAATGCAGAAATTCTTAAATGAAGGTATCAGAGAAAAATAAAACCTGTGGATAACACCAAGAAAGAGAGGCTAGAACTTAGGTTGGTTATGATATCTTGCCACACAGGAATGGATGCACAGGAATGGGTAAATTGATGACACAGCAGATGGAAAGAGCTGATCACGAGCTTTCTCAGAAGGAAAATTACTCACATCTCTTCCTCTCATGTTTACAGGGAGGAGTAGAAGACGAAGCCACCCTCTCCGCCTACGTTACAATTGCTTTTCTGGAGATTCCTCTCCCAGTCACGGTAGGTACTACCTCATGCCTACTGTAGGTAGTTCTGGCTGCAATGAAACCGCTTACCTGCCCTCTGAACTACTGTCCTACTAAGAGAAATGTCAGCTTTCCTTCTATGCAGTGCTGATGCTTCCCAGATGGATAGAGAATTTTGTCAGTCCATTAAGAAAGGTTTCTTAGTGATGCCTCAGGCTTTTTCTCAGCCCCACAAAAAATCCTAAAGTTATGCCTTTTGAATAGAAAAATAACAGATAAAAATACTATTCTCTCTATCATAAGAATGAGGAATAGACAGGAAAAATGCATTTGAAAAACTTCTGTGTGTTTACCTGGGAATGCCAGCACCCTGTTCACTCGCTTCCTGTGGTCCTTTCGCAGCATCCTGTTGTCCGCAATGCCGTGTCCTGCCTGGAGTCAGCCTGGAAGTCAGCAAAGGAAGGAGCCCGTGGCAGCCATGTCTACACCAAGGCACTATTGGCCTATGCTTTTGCCCTGGCAGGTAACCAGGACAAGAGGGCAGAAGTACTCAAGTCCCTTCATGAGGAATCTGTGAAGAAAGGTGAGAGCAAACCTGAGATCCTCCTTCTGTCCCACATTCTCTGCATCAAGAACTACACTGGGAAAACCCTCTACTGCTACTTCCGGTGATCGCTGTCCCCTCTCTTCTTTTATCTATGTCATATATATTTTGTCCATATCATACTTTTATAACATCTAATTCAATTTTTATACAATTTAATCAAATCATACATCCAAAGATAAGACACAGTACAGTTCTTCTCAAGTTACAATAGGGTCATATCCCAATAAATCCATGGCGAAATCAAAACATCGTTAAATCAAATGATCGTAACTTGGGGACCATCTACATGTGTAGTAGTGAGAAGCTCAGCCTCTGGAGACTAGCTCCAGAGTGTGCCACTTGTGTTACCTTGGGCAAGTCATTAACCTGTCTGTGTTTTAATTCCAGCATCATTAAAATGTAGATAATAGTATGTATTTCATAGTGTTTTTGTGAGTATTATATAGGTTAACATATATGAAACACTTAGTATAATATATGGCACATAGTTAATGAAAGTATGAGCTGTTATGACTAAAATATCTATTCTTAATATATACCCAACCCTATGGTACATCATATCATCTTAAACATAAGGAAAAATTGATGGAGGTAACCCCATGAGTAAATTCTGATATTATAAGCTCATTTAAAAAAACCAATAATGTTGGCCAATCTATTCATATTCACACAATACTTCTACATGTGCCACGGTCTATATGAAGGACTGAAGAAAAAAACAAAATGCAAATGATAAGATGTCCAATAACATACATTCAAGATTTCTCTTTTGACAGGGCCATTAATTGTTTTTAAAATGTATTTGGAATATTTCAGTTACACAAAAAAGGCATAAGGGATAATTATCAAAAACCTTATGACTCCTTACCAGCTTAAAAAATAAAATATTAATATTACCAAAGCAGGAAAAGTCTCCCGTGTACACTTCCACTCACACAGGTAATCATTATCCTGAACTTGGCATTGTAACTTCCATGGATTTCTTTGTATTTTTGCTGCATATGTATCCCTAAGTGATATTCATAATTTTTAGATTGTTTTCATCTTTAGATAAGCAATATCACACTTTTGGATATTTCAGAAGCTTGATTTTTTTGTTTATTCGTTTGCCTTTTATTTTTTAATTTCAACATTATGTTAATGAAGTCCCTTGTATGCATGCCTGTAGCTCTAGTTCATTAATCTACACTGCTGCATAATATACTACAGTATAAAAATAGTTGATAATTTAAATACTAACTTTCTCCTTATGAACTTTTTCTTCTTATTTTTTGCTATTGCAAACAGTGCTACAATAAATACTCATGTGCCTGTCTCCTTGTGCTCATGTGTGAGTTTCCTCATGTTATTCAACAAGTAAGGTGACTGATTAGTGGGCTAAGCACATCTTCCCCTTTGCTGAATATTGACACATAGCTCTGCAACGAGCAACTGGCATCCCACAGCATGTGCATTGGTTTCCATCGTTTCATCTCCATGTCAGCCTTTGGTATTTCAAGAATTACTGTATTTTTCCCAATCTATTAATAAGTGTAAATTCTATTATTTCATGTGATCTGTGATACCCACAAGAAATCTCTAAGGATGGGCTTCATAGGAAATGTAACAAATTCCAGATAAATTCTAGATAATATCAGAAATAGGAAAATAGCCACAGCCAGTGAGAGAACTTGCTCTGCCATTTCTTTCTCCCACCAACCCAACTACAGCAATTATTTGAAAACACAGATGGGTATAGGCTTCTGATCCAGCACCATACCTGTCTTAGCTGGGCTGAAACACACCGCATTCATGTTTACATCGAAGGAAAAGTGTTATTGATATATAAAGTTCAAGAGATTGCCATTGACATGCGGCCCTCACTTCAGCACTGGCTTGGGACTTTTACTGTGAATTAAGTATGAATATGGGTCACTTACAAATATCTCTTTCTCACACCCAGACGAGTCAGTCCACTGGGAGCGGCCAGAGAAACCCAAGCCACAAGAGAGGTATTTCGAGCCCCAGGCTCCCTCTGCTGAGGTGGAGATGACGTCCTACGTGCTCCTCGCTCACCTCACGGCGCAGCCAGCCCCCACCTCGGAGGACCTGGCTTCTGCGACACGCATTGTGAAGTGGATCACAAAGCAACAGAATTCCCAGGGCGGTTTCTCCTCCACCCAGGTCAGTGATTTGCCAGAACCTTTTACTTCAGGTAGCAGAAGGTTTCAGCACGACAAGTACGTACAAGATGAACAAAGAAGGTGACAATAATTTGAAATGAAAAGGTTTTTAGCATTCAAGGATAATGAGAAATAAGAGAAAACGAAAGTCCAAGAGGGCTAAAAGAAAATGCTCAGAATTCCAGCACCCCAGAATTCAGTGTCGTTGTCAGTCTCCTGTCTCTAGTAACAGCTCTACCTCCCTAAAGCAGTACCGGGACACCAGCAGAATGAAGGGAACATCTCCTACCATTCTTCTGGAAGTTCTAAGGGTCTCTTTCAAACTGCTCAGTGGAGCTGCCCAAAATCCAACAATCTCTCCTTGCAAATCTCTCCATTCTTAGGTCCCTTTAATGGGTTTCTTTTAAAGCTGACATATTTTGTGCTTCTTTCATCCCACTCTTGACACACAAACAAATTTGTTCATCAGAAGCATAAAGAACGGCCTTTGTTCAATCAACCTCCCAAGCCTAACTATATAATCTTATATCTAAACAATCCAGCAATAAATGTGTGGCAGGAATTCAAAGATTTAGGTGTGAGCATATTCATGCTAACAGAGAAGAGACTCTGACAAAATGACTTCCCATCCTTTTTATATTGTAAACTCTTATTTTTCCATACTAATGAAAAAAGACTAAATAGTTCTGTTAAAACAGTTATCATTCATTTCTGAGAAATCTATTCCTTGAAGGATGTCATCGAGGTTGAGTGTTGATGAGTATTGAGAATACGGCACACCAAGGGGATCCACTGGGCAAAGCAAATAGTCCAACAAAAACGGGAAAGCCAAAAAATTAAAAAAAGGAAAGCCAGATAAAAATGTCATTAAATCAAGAAAATAGTTATAATGTTCATCTTTTATATCCTTGAAGAAACTGAAGCATGACCCTGATCATGGCTACGAGGAGCGCTAGCTTCCCGCAGGGCACTGACCTCAGCAGCAGAGCAGAGTTTCACCTGGGGAGAGATGCAGACTGCGCTGTGGGTGGGTGGTGGCAGAAATGACCACAATGGTGTAGAAGGACATCTTCGGCAAATAACTGTTGCCACTAGATAATTCCCATTCACATATATTTCCATATTCCATATCCATATATTTATAGAGAGAAAGCAATCCATTTTCTGACAACTAAAAATAAATGTCTAGGGCATATAGTCCAAGGTAGATATGTGAATGTTACAGTTCTGTCATCTCTACAAAGATTATAATCAATCTTCAAATTAGAGCTCCAATATTTAAGTAGTTAGGGAAATAGGAAATCAAAGCCCCTTTGTGACAGCTCCTGTGTGCCTTTGGAAACTATCTCAGCCCTCAAAGGGTTACATACCTAAAAAGGGGTTCTCTCATTCATCTCTTCCAGGACACAGTGGTGGCTCTCCATGCTTTGTCTAAATACGGAGCAGCTACTTTTACCAGGACTGGCAAGGCTGTACAGGTGACAGTCCAGTCTTCGGGGGCATTTTCCACCAAATTCCAAGTGGACAATAACAACCGCCTGGTACTACAGCAGGTCTCATTGCCAGAGCTGCCTGGGGAATACAGCACAAGAGTGACAGGAGACTCCTGTGTCTACCTCCAGGTAAGACTTTTGGCCAGACAAAGATAGAGAGCAGATGGGGACAGTGCCTGTTCTCACCAATGTGTCCTACTTTAGCAAACAATGGGGCAAGTCAGAGAAAGACCTAGGGAACTTGAGAGGTATTCTGGGGAAGGGCGAGAAATAGACTTTGTCTCTAATGTTCCACAGACATCCTTGAAATTCAATGTTGTCCCAGAAAAGGAAGAATTCCCATTTGCTTTAGAGGTACAGACTCTACCCCAAACTTGTGATGGACCCAAAGCTCACACCAGCTTCCAGATCTCCCTGAATGTCAGGTAAGACCTTCTGATTGTGTCACCTAATTCTGGGAATAACAACCAATCTTCTTCCTGGAACTCCTCATTAAGTAAAGCAGTCCAACAGTAAATGTTTACACTACATTTGTTGAAACAGCAATGTATTCTCTTAACTTGGTATAATAGAATTTCTCTATGATGTGGTTTACACTTTCCATCTTCTGCCTCCAGGATCTATCATAGTCCAACTTCATTATTTCAATGTAATGAGTTCTCCCAATAATAATTAAATAAAGAATATTACCCCAGGCCTCTGGCATGAATTCCTTCTAATGTGATGAAATCTCATATTATTCTTGATTTATTGAGAACAGAGATCAAGAACTCTTAAAGGCATGAATAAAAGAAAGTGGTAACACTTTCGTTAGAATTCCTATTGGCAATAAATAAATCTCAAGTTATATATAATGTAATCAATTTGGGGGGAAGTACATATATATGCAGCAATATTCAAACAGCTACAGGGCTTACACAAAAGTATCTGTATACAAGAATAACTAGGTTAGGGATACTATTCAGGAACAACAACATGATACAGTTTATGTAATAAATAACTGACACAGATCAGATTCTCAAGCTCATGCAGCACTTGTAGAGTCAGCCCCATGCACTTGAAAATCTGATTCACCGGGTCTAGAGTACAGCCTGGTCTCTGTGGCTTGAACAGGTTCCCTAAAAATTCTATACACAGCCAGTTTTCCACACCACTAGGGTAGGATATTTGGGAAGACTTAGACTGTACCTTTTAGAGCCATCGAGTGCTTAGTGTAGACAGAGGAAAAGAGGATATTTAATAACACAGAAAACCCTAATTCCTTCTCCCGTGGATCTTCAGTTACACTGGCAGCCGTCCTGCCTCCAACATGGCGATTGCTGATGTGAAGATGCTATCTGGCTTCATTCCCCTCAAACCAACAGTGAAAATGGTAGGTTTATTAAAAGTCCAGAATGTGTATTTTTTTAATATTTTGTGTATCCCCAGGCTAAAACAATACAAATATTAAAATACTATTAAATCATCCTCTATCAAAGACTTATATTTTCTCCAAACTCAGAAATTTAATTCAGCATGCTTGTAAGAGTGCCCACCATGTGCACAGAACTCTCTAGGAGCCATGAGTACTAGGGAAAAGTCAGTAGGTTCCTGCTTTCATGGAGCTTAGAATCTCATTAATAAGATAAAGCATATGAACATGAACCAGTGAAAATTCTCGGTTGACGTAACTATAAGTATTACACAAGTTAAGAAAAAGATGAGATTACTGTAAGTTAGAGCAAGAAAAGAAGAAAGAAAACTCCTTCATGAAGGAATAGAATGTGAATTGAATCTTGAAATATGAGTAATTCCCAAGTTTCAGATATTTAGTTCCTTTTTCTTCAGAGAAATCAACTTTACACATAGATCATGTGTCATAGTAACATTCAACTCTTTATCCAAATTACCTTTCATTTCTAATTGTACTGCATCTTTACTTACAAAAAGTGCTCAAAACAATTCTACCATTAGGCTTATTTTGGCAATGAAAAATGCTTTCTCTCTGGATACTGCAGGTGTTTCATCTATTTCTTAACATTTGTGATGTCTTAATTTTCCTCAGCTTGAAAGATCTAACCATGTGAGCCGGACAGAAGTTAGCAACGACCACGTCTTGATTTACCTGGATAAGGTGAGAGCCCTGCCCATCTAGCTGCAAAAAAATATAGATCAGAATCTCTCTTATGGGAGCATGTGGGAGTGAGCGAATGCCTTTTAGAAACATCACTTCCATGCTAGAAATTTGAGAATTCTAATATTAATTCCAGTGAATGTTCTCCTTTCGTTAATTTATATTTCACTTGGGATTATGAGCAGAAATGGCTAATTGTAATATTGGGATAGGAGTATTTCTGGGACTCTATAAGCAAGAAATTCTGCACAGAGTGTGTTCATTATATCCACAAGTTATTTTGAAAATGCTGAGTAATGTAGGGAAGTGACCGTTGTGATTGGTCAATTATTCTACTAACATCCCATCAACAATATAAAAGGGGAAAGCGCTGCCAGTATCCACAAGGGCTTGGGTCATGAAACAGTAAGACCAGTCCACCAATAAACAATCTGGCTTTATAGATATGTGTGGTAGCATGGTTGATTCATGCATATATTAATGGGAATTATACTTTATAAATTTTATAAACTTAAACAAGGCTACAATGATCAAACTTTTAGATACCTCTGTGAGGCTACACAAATATTTCTGCAAGACAAAGGGTGAAACTGTACCAAAGCTCTGGATATTTAAAAATGGACATAGCTAGTGAACCAATAAAAATCATATATCATTTATAAACAGAGGCATGTGCTGGCATTGATGGAGGTATATGAGTTATGTTAGTTATTTAAGAAATACACTCAAGAAGCTGAAGCAAGAGGATTCCTTGAGCCCAGTAGTTCGAGAACAACCTAGACAACACAGTGAGGCCCTGTTTCTAAAAAGAAAAAATAATAGAAATATAAATAATTTGGAGAATTTCTCATCCACTCTGAGGGATTTCTGCACAATTTAAGGATCCTATAGTGTGCTCTTGGTTAATAAAGTCTTTTCCCCAAATGTAGATGAATAGTTAAACTTATTCAAAGAGAAAAGAAAGCCCCTAGAAGGTCATTTAACTCACATTTGTTTCCTAGGTGCCAAAGAATACACTGAGCTTTTCCTTTACGGTTCTGCAAGATATTCCAGTACGAGATCTGAAACCAGCCATAGTGAAAGTGTATGATTACTATGAGACAGGTGAGTGTGAGTGATTTTCATATAGAAATTAATTCCCTAATCACAGAAATTTAGATATGAGAGATGTGTTGGGGCAATTTATTACATTAAGTGCTTCACTTATCACCTCATTTTGTCTCCATCAAGTCGGATTCTCCTCTTTCTGTCATTATGTATACATTTTAGAAACTTTCCACATTATAAACATATCAATTACCAATACAAAAGAACTGTAGAATTTTTAGTTTTGTGTTCATCAGATAAAGCAACTATATAACAATATAAGATTTAATTAAGTAGAATATCTGAAGTGTCCTTCAAGAGTTTGGGGTAAAAGAAAATACACTGTATTTGAAAGGATAGTATAAGGCAGCAAGCGATGCATTTAATGAATGGTGCTGACATTTCTGACACAACACGGTGCTTCCTACAGTAAAGATTCCTTCATTGTCCTGTATCCAAGATGTTTGCTTCCCCTCTCACTTCACCTAATGCTTTTTGTTTGTTTCAGATGAGTTTGCAATTGCTGAGTACAATGCTCCTTGCAGCAAAGGTAAGCAGTGCACACTCCCTCAAAAGACAGTCAGAATTCCTTTGGTTTGTCCCTCAAGTCTCCTTCATAAAGTTGTGGCTAAATATTTTTCAGAGAGATCGTATTGTCCACACTGCTCATTATTATAAATAAACACATTTACTGAAAAGGGCCACTGACTGTGTCAAACTTCAGGCAGTTCCTAGGATTGCTTACTGGGCAATCATCTGTAATAGGTGTCATTTTCCACTGTACCGATTGGGTTTCCTTTGCACTATGCTACCCAGATCTAAGGGAAGGAATATTCTCTGCTCGTGGAAACTGATGTTCCTCTTAATTGTCTTCCCTTTCCACTACCACAGATCAAGGAAATGTTTGAAGACCACATGAATGAAAAGTGCTTTGCTGGATTTTCTGTTCTCAGTACTCCACAGAAGACAAGTGGGTTTTTTTTTTTGTTTTGGTTTGGTTTTGGTTTGTTTTTTTTAATCTCGAAAGAGTTGCTAAATAAACTTTTTTCTGGTGAATCTCTATCACTGTTTCTTCATTCATTCAATAACCATTTCCATATGATTCGCAATAGAATCCTGAGGTAAAAATCAACAGCAATCAAGGGCTGAAGGACTTTGGAATGTGAGAAGTGTTATAATGATGGTGGTCTGAGCAGGCTTTGTGCAGGGGTTGCAGGGAAAAGAAGAAAGTGTAGGGTTACGTACTAGGAGAGTGTAAAGCAGGCATCCTCAAACTATGGCCCACGGGCCGCATGCGGACTGCGAAGGACATTTATCTGGCTTGCCAGGCGTTTTTGCCACCCCTGCCTGTCCTGCTTAGCAGCCGACTCATCCTGGGAGCACAGTGCACATGTGTGGAATGTGTGCCGCACTCTCCAAGGGCCCTCCACTGGTCTGAGGGACAGTGAACTGGCCCCCTGTTTAAAAAGTTTGAGGGCCCCTGGTGTAAAGTGTGTTTGGTTATGCGAATACCCTAAGAAAAAGCCAAAGAGTAGATTTTTGTGAAAAACCAGAAGACATACTTGACCAGAGAAGACTTTAAATATTAAAAAGAAGTAATGAAACACAAAGTTGAGTAGCTTATATTGTAAGGCAACATAATTGATTGGTACATGGCCTGAACTGAGAGTTGTGCATCCTAATTTGGATCAAAATCTGCCACTGACTGATAACAGTGATCAGGCAGTTAACCTTGGGTCTCAGACTCAATATGGATGACGAACTGAAAACGTGGATGTGGTGTACATGCAGAGGCAAGTTTTCTCAGAACAAAGATCATATATAACACAAATCCCAAATAGGAGTATTATATCTAAGCATCTTTCTTCTGGAACTTTAAGCTAGAATGAAAGATTAACTAACTATAAAGTGAAGAAGATATTCAGGTGCAGAAATCAGAGATTTTACAATACCTAGTCTCTCTCTTTGTGTCTCTGTGTCTCTGTCTCTCTCTCTCTCTCTCTCTCTCATTTCCTTTGCAGTAAGTATTGAAAGCATCCATTGTATGAAAGGGGAGGCTGAAGCTTCAGGAGTTTGTAGAGAAGTGTGCAGGAGGTTAACACAGGAGGATTCAGAGCCAAGAGATTCTCTAGGGGCAGTCCTAGGAGTCTTGGTGTTCATTTGACATACAATGACAGTGTTTGGTTTGACGTAAGGTAAATGTGGATGCTATAAGCTAAGAACTTGAAAGGACTTTGAAGTTGAAGCAATCCTTAGCTCTGTGATTAGGCTGGACAAAAATGAAAACAAAAGCATATGATTTTGTTCTTTAGCCTGTTAATATGATAGATTACATTCATTAATTTTTGAATATTGATTTAGCCTCATATAACTGGAAGAAATACATCTTTGCATTGTGTATAATTATTTTTACACATTCAGGGTTTGATTTGTAATCTTTTATTGGGGATTTTTACATTTTTATTCATAAGTAATATTGATCTGTACTCTTCCTTTCTTGCGAGATATTTCTCTAGTTTAATATTAGGGTAATGCTTGCCTTATAGAATGGATTAGAAAGTGCTCCCTCTGTTTCTCTTTTTTATTTGAGACTGTAGAGAATTGGTATCATTTCTTTAAATGTTTGGTAGAATTCACCACTGAACACATGTGGGCCAGAAATAACTGTTTCAGAAAGTTATTAATTTTTTTATTTCATCATATTATGGAGGTACAAATATTGTTAGGGTTACAAATATTGCCCCTGCCCCCCATCCTCCCCCCGATGTGTCCAATCCCCCGGTGGTGTGCATCACTCACGTTATGGAAGCATACACCCCTTTCCTCCTCCCCCTTCCGGCCTACCCACCACCCGATAAAAAGTTTTGTTTTGTTTTTTGACATTTTGGTTACATTGTATATCTTTGCCTCTCCCTAAGAAGGGTTAGATTTATGCCCTTTCCCACCAAAATACTCACCAGCTCACTAAGATTGCCCCCCCCAAATACCTGGTGAGCATTGCCACCATTTGAAAACCATAGTTTTAATCAGTCAGTACCAATTTGATGGCAAGTAGATGTAGAGCCCATTTTCCATGTCTTGTGTTACCTCACTTTGGATAATGGGCTTAAGCTTAATCCAGGATAGCATAAACGGTGCTAGCTCACTGTCATTTCTTAGGATTGAGTAATATTACATTGTGAGGATATACCACTTTTTAATTATCCACTCATGAATTGATGAGCTCCTGGGTTGTTTCCATGACTGTGCAATAGTGAATTGTGCTGCTATAAACATTCGGGTGCAGATGTCTTTATAATAGAATGTCTTATGCTCTTTTCGGTAGAGGTCCTACAATGCTATTGCAGGGTCGAATGGTATTTCTATTTCTAGCTGTTTGAGGTATCTCCAAATTCTTTTCCACAAAGGTTGCACTAATTTGCAGTCCCACCAGCAGTGTAGGAGTGTTCCTGTGTCTCCGCATCCTTACCAGCATTTGTTGTCTTGGGATTTCTTGATATAGGCCATTCTAACTGGAGTTAGGTGGTATCTCATTGTGGTTTTTGATTTACATTTCTCTAACTATTAGAGAAGTTGAGCATTTCTTTATATGTTTGCATGCCATTATTCTGTCTTCTTTGGAGAAGTTTCTTTTCATTTCTGTCACCCATTTCTTGATGGGATTGTTTGATTTTTTTCTTGTTAATTCTTTTAAGTTCTAGATAGATTCTTGTTATTAGACCTTTATCAGAGGTGTAGAGAGCAAATATTTTCTCCCGCTCTGTAGGTTGTCTATTTGCTCTACTGATGGTTTCCTTGGCTGTGCAGAAACTTTTTCATTTGATCAGACCCCATTTGTTTACTTTTGATGCTGTAGTGATTGCCTTGGGGGTCTTCCTCAAAAATCCTTTGCCTAGGCCAATGTCTGATAGGGTTTTCCCAACATCTTCTTCTAGGATTCTTAAGGTTTCATGCCTTAAGTGTAAGTCTGTTATCCATCTCGATTGAATTTTTGTGAGAGGTGAGAGGTAGGGATCCTGATTTGCTCTTCTGCATGTAGCTAGCCAGTATTCCCAGCACCATTTATTGAAGAGAGATTCTCTTCCCCAATGTATATTTTTGTCAGCTTTATCAAAAATTTGATTACCGATACTGATGGGTTCATCTCTGGTATCTCAGATCTATTCCAGATATCTATCCTTTTGTTCTTGTGCCAATCACAGGCTGATTTAACTATTATTGCTTTATAGTACAGCTTGAAGTCAGGAAGACTGATGCCTCCCAGTTTGTTCTTTGTATTTAAGATTGCTTTGGCTATACGAGGTGTTTTCTGGTTCCATACAAAGTGAAGAATTATTTTTTCTAGATCTGTAAAGAATGCTGATGGTATTTTATGGGGATTGCATTGATTCTGTAGATCACTTTAGGTAATATTTACATTTTAACTATATTGATTCTACAATCCATGAACAAGGTAGAATTTTCCATCTGTTTAAATCTTCTGCAATTTCTTTTTTAGTGTTTCATAGTTCTCCTTATATAAATCTTTTGTATCTTTTGTTATACTCCTAGATATTTAATTTTCTTTGGGGCTATAGTAAAGGGTATTGCATTTTTTATTTGAGTTTCTGCTTGATGGTTCTTGGCATATATGAATGCTTCTGATTTGTGTATATTGATTTTATAACCTGAAACTTTCCCAAATTTGGTTATCAAGTCTAGGTGTCTCTTGGAAGTGTCCATGGGGTTTTCTAGGTATAATATCATATCATCGGCAAAGAGCGAGAGTTTCATCTGCCTCCACTTCAATGCCCTTAATACCCCTCTCCTGCCTGATTGCTATCGCTAGGACATCAAGTACTATGTTGAATAGGAGAGGAGATAGTGGGCACCCTTGTCTAGTTCCGGATCGAAGGGGGAAAGATTTCAATTTTTCTCCATTTAGAATGATATTAGCAGTGGGTTTGTCATAGATGGATTTAATAAGTTTAATGTATGCACCATCTATGCCTGTTTTGTTAAGAGTTTTTATCATAAAGTTGTGTTGGACTTTGTCAAATGCTTTTTCTACTTCTATTGACAGAATCATATGGTCTTTGTTCTTGATTTTATTTATGAAGTGAATTGCATTTATAGACTTGCGTATGTTGACCCATCATTGCATCTCTGGAATTAAGCCCACCTGGTCATGGTGAATTATTTTTTTGATGTGCTGCTGAATTCTATTTGCTAAAATTTTATTTAGGATTTTTGCATCTGTATTCATGAGTGATATCGATCTGTAATTTTCTTTTTTTGTTGTGTTTTTTCCTGGCTTTGGTATCAAGGTGATATTGGCTTCGTAGAGTGAGTTAGGAAGAATACCATCCTTCTCAATGGTGTGGAATAGTTTCTGTAGTATAGGTATGAGGTCATCTTTGTACATTTGGTAGAACTCTGAAGTGTAGCCATCTGGCCCAGGGATTTTCCGTTTGGGCAGGTTTTTAATTACTGCTTCAATTCCTGAGCTTGAGATTGGTCTGTTTAGGAATTCTGTTGCCTCCTGCATGATTTCAGCAAGGTTGTATGAATCCAAGAATTTGTCCATTTCATCTTCATTCTGTAATTTGGGGGCATATAGTTTTTTATAACAGTCAAATATAATGTTTTATATTTTTTTGGTATCTGTTGTGACCTCTCCTTTTTCATTTCTTATTGAGTTTATTACAGTCCTTTCCCTTTGGGTCCTTTCGATCTAGCAAGAGGGCCATCGACTTTGTTTCTCTTTTCAAAAAACCAGCTTCTGGTTTTGCTGATTTTTAGTATAGTTCTCTTGTTCTCCATTTCATTCAGTTCTGCTTTGATCTTGGTTATTTCTTTTCTTCTATTAGGATTGGAAATTGTTTGCTCTTCCTTTTCCGATTCCTTGAGCTTATTCATTAAGTTATTATTATCTAAGGTTTCTGTTTTTTGGATGTGAGCCTCAATTGCTATTAGTTTTCCTCTCAGGTAAGCTTTTGCTGTATCCCACAGGTTTTGGTAAGAGG